ATTATCCATTGCAAACCCATGTAGAATCCTATCCTATTGCAAACCCATGTAGAATCCTATGAAAAATTAATCATTGCAAACCCATGTAGAATCCTAGGCAAAATTAACCATTGCAAACCCATGTAGAATCGTACCCATTGCAAACCTATGTAGAATCCTATGAAAAATTAACCATTGCAAACTCATGTAGAATCCTATGAAAAATTAACCATTGCAAACCCATGTAGAATTGTATTAAAAATTATCCATTGCAAACTTATGTAGAATCCTACATTGCAAACCCATGTACAATAGAATTGTATGAAAAATTATCGATTATAAACCCATGTACAATCGTAACAAAAGTAATGAAATAAAAAAAAATTGCGCCAAGTGAAAGTAGAAACTTGTACCAGTGGAAAATTAAAGTTGCAGACATATATAGAGTCGTATAATGAATCAGTAAAAATTTAAATTTGCAAATGTAGAATCGTACCATAAAAAAATTATCTTTTAAAAAAAGATAAACAAGATGCCAAGTCCATGCGCCATGTGAAAAGAAAATAAAAATTTTAGTTAAAAAAACTGGGCGCGCTGCTAAATAATATCTAAACAATATTAAAATAAATTGTTACTTTAAACTCATTACAGTTAAAATATGTTTGTGTTAAATTAATTAATGTTACTTTAAGGTGCATTGTAATTTTGAAACTTAGCAGCGCGCCCAGTTTTTTTAACTAAAATTTTTTTATTCTTTTTCACATGGCGCATGGACTTGGCATCTTGTTTATCTTTTTTTTTAAAGATAAGTTTTTTTATGGTACGATTCTACATTTGCAAATTTAAATTTTACTGATTCATTATACGACTCTATATATGTCTGCAACTTTAATTTCCACTGGTACAAGTTTCTACTTTCACTTGGCGCAATTTTTTTTTATTTCATTACTTTTGTTACGATTGTACATGGGTTTATAATCGATAATTTTTCATACAATTCTATTGTACATGGGTTGCAATGTAGGATTCTACATAAGTTTGCAATGGATAATTTTTAATACAATTCTACATGGGTTTGCAATGGTTAATTTTTCATAGGATTCTACATGAGTTTGCAATGGTTAATTTTTCATAGGATTCTACATAGGTTTGCAATGGGTACGATTCTACATGGGTTTGCAATGGTTAATTTTGCCTAGGATTCTACATGGGTTTGCAATGATTAATTTTTCATAGGATTCTACATGGGTTTGCAATAGGATAGGATTCTACATGGGTTTGCAATGGATAATTTTGTTAATGGCGTGCCCTTAACTGGTCGCTTTTTTTACCTTTTTTTAAAGGTGAGTTTTAGAGATTATTAAATACACTTCACACGAAATAAAGTTGCTGGAAGATATACAGCAAACGATAACTGTAAAAAAATGATTACGTGGAAAGAACAAGAGTGGTACAGTAAAGGCAAGTAAGTAAGTACATGTAATGTATCGTATTGGCATAACGCTATATCCGCGGAGCAGATAATGTGGCTGTAGAGGTAGTCTGCAGTGCAGCTAATGTGGACGTAGATGTTGATTGAGATAATTGTCTAAATAAAATAGAATTTTAAAAATTATTTTAAAAGCTGTTGCATATATAAATAAAGTTTATTTTTTCTAAATTTGGAATATGTTTAATTAATTAATTTTTTAAGTTTATGTTTATAAAATTTTTAAGTCTGTATTCAATAATTTTATTCATTTGATAAATATGTATGTCTTTATTTTGTATGTTTAATATAATTAGAAATTCATTATTAATTAGATATGGGTATGTGTGAGAAAGAGAGAGATAGAGATTAGAGAGAGAGAACGAGAGAAGAGAGAGAGAGAGAGAGTAGCCAATATAACCCGCACGTGCCGATCATGAATGTACTAAATAAGTACACAAGACGAACAGTGAGTGAGTGAGTGAGAATGAGAGAGTTGTTGTGTGTGTGCGTGTGTGGTGAGAAAGAGAGAGAGAGAGGAGATGAGAGAGAGAGAGAGAGTGAGAGAGAGAGAGAGAATGAGAGAGCCCGAGGAGCACGAGAGACGAGCAAGAGAGCAGAGAAAGAGAGAGAGAGACGAGAGACTGCGGAAGTCCACAAGGCACGTGAGCGGAGAGTGAGGAAGATAGCTGAAGATGAGCGAGAGATTTAGAAGAGAAAGAGAGAGAGAGAGATAGGAGAGAGAGAGAGAGGAGAGAGAGAGAGGAGTTTTAGCCAACATAACCCCGCACGCTGCCGATATGGCGGAGCGCCACTATCGCCATCTGTTGTAAACGTGCGAGATGGACAAAATTACCACTACATGCATCTTGCATGTGTTGTGTACGTGTGATATATGTGTGCGCATGTGTTGTATACGTGTGAATACGTGTAGCACGATACTACTATGTATGCGTGGTCGATGATGATAATGATGATGATAATGATGATGATAATGATGACGGGGACGTTTCTTAATAGAAATTTTTCATATTTCGACTTTGCATTTATATATCTCTGCTTACAAATCACGTAGAGCAGAAATAAAGACACTTTTATTATATAATTCGAACTCAATCTATCGATTAAGTCTAGTATAAACTCGATTGCTTCAGCCATTATTGAGGATTCGAAATATTATAAAGACTCAAATGTCCGACTCGCGTTAAGATACACGGTGTCTCCGCTACGCCCTTAACTGGTCGCGAGACACTACCGTGTCTCTTGATTTTTTCGAACTTTATATATATATTAAATAATATGTAAAAAATAAAAATATTTATTTACATTTACACAATTTCCTACCCAATCGTTTTTCATCAACATGGTTTAAAAATTGTTGGATTAAAATAAATAATTATTAAAAATTATTAATATTAAAAAATTATATGATAACTTAATTAAAATTTAATAATTAATTATTAAAAGATATGGAAAATTAATAGTAAAAATGTTGGATTTCTTGTACATACATGTAGTGATATGTGTGAGCAAAATAAAAAAGACATCTTTAATGTTTAATTAAGGAATCGTACTTCCACACACGTGTGACATTGTACGATAATGGGCGAGCCGTGTACCTAGTCAGGCATTGCTGCCAATGCCGACAAGTTATTGGCAGTTTGAGAACTGAAAATGCCTGGTATATAGTATATCGGACCCCATTTTCCAGCTTTACGATGATGGCCATTGTTATTGGCATCGCGAGATGAATCCGCTGGTGGAAATACACCGTTAGCGATACTTTGGAAGTTGATGTCGGTAGCCAAATGGAAAAATAGAATCGTGCCGAATCACGAATTGCGAGTTTTTTTCTAATCTAATCATAACATTAATTGATCATTAAAAATATTTGAATATGGAGAAATATTTTTACTAAAAACCGTTAAAAAAATTTTGGATAAACTAGCTAATAACAAGTAAATGAATTTAACAAGCTTAAATTTTTTTGACTGAAAAAACCTCAAAATCAAGTTTTTTAAAGGATTTTCTAAATAAAAGTAACAATTTTTGAAATTAATTTTTTTCGAAGTTTGATCTTAAATAATAACTCCTGAATAGGTCAATCTTTGTTTTTTTTTTGTTTTTTTGCGCTTTTTCAAAATGTAGTACAATATGGGAGGTTCCATTTAAAATATTTGAGTTGAGTGCATCTTTTTTGAGGAGAGGGCAACCCTCTAAAAGGATAGCCTCTCGAAATGAGCAAACATATATTTCGCGGTTTTTCATAATTTTGAGTCGTTTGCAAAATATAGGAGATGGGGACAGACTTTATGGACACCCTGTATACATACATATTATTATTATTAAGCTTAAACGACTTGACTACGACGTAACTAGCAATTTTATTTGATTATTTCACGACGTTTCGACCATTTGGTTGTGGTCCTTTTCAAGTGAAATTTCATCAATTAAACCGAGGTTAACATAACATCACACCGGTGTTATTTGAAATCGAAAGTTAAACGTTAAAAGAGGAACACGTCCCATCGTTATGATGTTAAAGGTTAAAAATTAAAAGAGGAACACGTCCCATCGTTATGATGTTTCGTCAACGACTCAAATGAAATAATCAAATAAAATTGCTAGTTACGTCGTAGTCAAGTCGTTTAAGCTTATTTTCACCACTAGCGACAAATATTAATTTTGATTGATATTAATTTTAATTGATTATTATTATTGTTTTTAAGAAAAAGTAATATGTAATGTGCATTTAAAGCTCCACATATTTTTTAAAAACCCTGTGTTTTCTTTACATTAAATAAGAATCCCTCTCATTATTTTGTGCATAAAAGTTATTAAGGTAATGTGCATAAAAGTTAGTAAGGTCACTGAAAAATGAATATTTTACAAGATATATATATATATATATATATATATATATACAATATATATATATATATATATATATATATATATATATTTCATAGTTTATATAAATTAGTTAAAATATTTCATAAACTATTTACTTTTTTGCTACCTTATTCTGACTAATAACTTTTTATACCAAATATTATATTACGAGAAATTTATATAAAAATATTAAAAAATGATGGTGACTCTATTTTAAAAAATTAGATTGATCTTCAAATGATCTTGAAAATGATCTCAGTTAAAATTAAAGATGATCAACTTGTTCCCACCCTCCAACTAAATAACTTTTGTTCGAAACATTTTTTCTAAAAAATACATTTCTAAATTATTTAAACTTATTTTCTAAAATATAGGAAACCCTCTATATAAGTAAGTAAATTAGTTATGAATACAGAAATGAGCTTTCTTTCAAACAATGTTAAATAATCAACTTGTCTAATGTATATTGAAATTTTTATATTAAAATTTATGCATTAAACATTAAATAAAAATCCATATGTTTAATTAATTATTTTTTGATAATCTTTAAATCGCTATATTAAACAAAATAAATAAAAGCTGCAATTTCATCGACCGAAATTAAATAAATATTTGCTAGTTTTAGTCGATAAAATTGGAGTTTTTATTTAAATATTGTTGTTTAAACTTTCTTACTTTTTGCGATGATGACGTCGCCGTCGTCGATTCGATGGTTTTTGCGTATTTATTTTAGGTTGCGCGATAAATGTTTCCTTGATGTTGTCCGTATATACGTGACCTACATATTTACTAGCCTCAGTAGTAAAAGCTGCGGAGGAGGTTGAAGATTCGAGAGGCATATCATGAGTCGGGTGTCTAGCTTTCACTGATCCTGATATCCTCGAAATTTGTCGACGAGCTTGTCGCTCGGAATACCCTTTTTTCGAAGCTTGCGTCGAGGATTCCAGCTTGCTAAGCGTAAACACATAATTAATGATTAGTATAATTCCTCTTACTCTTATTAAATGTATTTAAAACTTAAAAGTAAGACCTAGTTCGACACAGTAGCCAGATAGCTTAACTGTAATAGTTAAGTATTAATGATGCCAACAACTGAAACAAAATTCGGTGAGCTATGTATGTACAAGGTTAGATTTTGACAAGTTGCATTTTCGCAAAATATATAAGCGAAATATTGAAAATATACTTGTCAACTTGTCAAAATCTAACCTTGTAAATAGCTTACTGAATTTCGTTTCAGTGGTTGGCATTACTACTTAACTATTAGTTAAGCTAACTAGGCCTAAGTGGAATGTATAATGTACACAAATATTATGAGATCCCAAGTAGCAAACTGACATAAAATATCATTTTGACGTCATAAAATATCATTTTGACGTCTAATGATGTCATTTGACGTCAAAATGACGTATACTTGCTACCTGGGATATTTTTTCGGAAAATACGCAAAAGTGTTATTTTTGACAGGCTTTGAACAAACCAGTGACACTATAGTATTCAATCTGAAACTTGAATACAATTGTTTTAAATCCGAGTATGTTGTAAGAATACAATTCCCAGACATTACCATGTTCAAAATTGGTGCATAAGATGTTTTTAAGATGTCTTTGGGATATCATATCATAAGATTTCTTAAAGATGTCTTAAATATTTCTTAATGATGTCTTATGCACCAATTTGGGACATGGTGCTATCTAGGATTTCTTATGAATATAATTCTAATCTTAAAAAATGAAACTTGATTATTGGATTTGATTTGGACTTTTTAAATACACATATTGAATACGATCCCATCCCTATAAAATAGGCAAATATGAATACATCATAAAATGTGCTACCTAAACGCAAAACCCTCATCTTTCACTGCGGGATTAGCGTCGTCGCTTTTAGCATTAAAGCTGAAACCACCCTCAGACTCGCCACCCATGTTATATTGATTGTGATTTATCATAATCGAATCCGGTGTCCTTTGAATCTCTTCATGCTCGTTGAGCAATTGTTCGTCAATATTGTGTTTACTCTTAAACTGGAGGATCTCTGAAATAAAATGAAATTAAATAATCCTCTTGCGTTAAATCATATTTCAGAAGCACATAGGTACCTGTAAGGCCCTCTTCCTCCACTTGAAGGCCCTCCTTCAATATTTCCTCCCTGTACTTCTTTAATTCTTCCAGATAGCTTTTATTTAACTTTTGTTCGCGCCATTCTGTGTCATATTTGATATTTGGCAGTGCAATGTCACCGAGAAAACCGCCTGAAATTAATTGTACGTTGCGATATACGTATATTATTGTTGTGCGTATAATTCCATTAGCAAATACTGTGAATGCGCGTAATAAATTAGAATTCTTCCAATCTCCGATGTCATCCGAGCTTATATGCATGCACGCGTGCGTTAGTGCCCGTTTCGGTTAATTTAATTAGGCGCTCTCTCTCTCGCGCGCGCATGCACACACACACACACACACACACACCATTACACCTCGGTAGGTATTAACGAGGTTGAAATCGCCGCATTCGCGAGAATATATTCGTAAATACAGTCTCGTAGCAACGAGTTGCATCAGAGCTGCAGTTATACTTCACCGAGCCATATATGCATTTATATTCGTCCGATGCGATATATACAGGGTGTCCCACAATTGGATCGACAAACTTCAGGTGGTTACAAAACGTAATCGAAACAAACTAATTTTGTCAATAAACTTCATGTCCGCAAATGAGCCATTAGCACTAGAGTAGTCCGGATTTTGAAGTGAAATATGTTTTCTTCTTTTCCATCATATCTATAGCTTTCCCATTATAGATGCATGTTGATCAATTCTTCATAAGAAAACTTGTTCATTTCAAAAATAATTTCAATTAAATAATAATAATGCTGAATGAATATTCATTAATGCTGTGATACTGAGCTTAGTTAACAATAATGTTTTATTAAAATATAAAAAATATTAAACAATGTCAATGTTTTACGTATATATATTATACAATAATTTAATTTTCTCTAGTGCCAAAACAGGCCATTCGCGGACATGGACTTATTGACGAAACACGAAACTGGTTTGTATTGATGTCCTTTATAACCACTTACAGTTTGTCGATCTAATTTTAGAGCACCTTATATATTACAAAAATTATTTGCTAAAAATATTATATACGAGGATAATTATATATATAATATACAGGATGATCAGCCTATTTCTTTTGTATAGATAGAACGAGTTAAACTGAGTAAAAAAGTCCTTTACCGTTTTCTAATCTGTGCAATAATTATTGAGAAATTAATTAAAAAAGATTGACCAATCCGCGCGAGGCGTATAAGTGCGCGGCGAATAAGACACCAGAGGGACGTCTCTCTTCGCCGCGCGTTTATGTACTTTACGCTGATTGGCCGAGCTTTTTTAATTAATATCTCATTAATTATTGCGAAGATCGCGAAACGTGTGTATGTGTGTGTGTGCAATTAAAGGACTTCTGTTCGGTTTAATCCGCTTTATCTGTACACGAGAGGTGCTACAATTATTATCGGACACTGTATATATTTTTCAGATTTTTCTACGCAATTAATTTCATATAATATATGTTATTAATTAATTTATTAGCTCTAATTTTAGTATGCAATCTTGGTAGTCATATCTTTAATAAAAAAACGTCGCAAGAAAACATCCCAATCACAATATATGAGATTATTGCATATATCTATTATTTGTTGGAATCGCAGATGCGGCCCTGCTTCCGAATGCATGTACATACCATATATGCATTCGGGGGTGCAGTCGGTTACAAACCACGTAATGCCAAACCCCTGTCCGCTTCGAATCGGTGATTTCGTCCCATTCAGGCGGGAACATCGTCTGAACGTTCGCATAAAACAATTGCATTGATCCTCCATACAATAATAAGTGATAAACTTTTTTTTAATGTGAGACTTCTTCCTCTTTCTCGCTCATCAGATTAATTTTATCATTCATTCATTCATTATTGTGTGTGCATGTGTATATTTATTTTTTTATTATTTTATATTTATATTATTATTTTTATTATTATATATTTATATTATTATTTTTATTATTTTATATTTATATTATTATTTTTATTATTTATATATTATATTATATTAACTGTATTTTTTTATTTAAATTTTTTCTTTTCATAAAGCAAAATAATTATTAAAAGAACAGAAAATAAACTTGCAATACTATGAATAATATTGCATCGTTTTTGTTTCATTAAAACAAAAAGTTTTACCAGAAAATTTCTCTTAATAAAATAAAATAAATTAAATTAATAAAATAACATTTTTTAACTGAAGAGAGAGAAAGAGAAAAAGATAACATCCCCAAGATGCTATCATTGTATCACAAAATCATGGCAGAAAACCAATCGGCAATGTCGGAACTGTTTCAATCTCCGAATCGATCTGAGAAACCTCCTTTTCTGTTTCAAAGACATTTACAAGAGCATATGTAGAAGAGAGAGAACGAGAGAGAATGTAAGAGGGTGGAGGGGGATAAACCAAACACTTCATTAAATAAAGTAGGCGTGAGCTATTTGTGATTAGCTGAATGAATTTAGGTTTAGCACTAGGAAATAGTCGAACAATTTTATCGTAATTAATAATTTTTTTATCGTAATTAATCATTATCAAATAAATATCTTAACGTTTTTGAATTCTCTTCTTTTAATTCTATCTTTCTCGGTATTATTAATTATTTTCTAAATATATTTTAATCTTAGAAATCTATTATGTAAATATACTTACATATACTAACAAAAAATATAATATATGTGTATAAACAAAACATGTTTAAAAAATATTTACTTTATAAAAAATATAATAAATATCTTAACAAAAAAAATATATATATATAATAATTAAATATATATATATATATATATATATATATATATTTGTGTAAACAAAATGTGTTAAAAAATATTTAACTTACAAGAAATATAATAAATATCTTAAATCAACATTTAAAATTAAAAAATTAGTCTTTAAATATCATTTGCGATTTGGCTCTCATTGCCTGTCTTACACTTTAAATTTATATTTATATTACAGAGCCTTGTTAAACTCTTAATTTAAAAAATTAGTCTTTAAATATCATTAATATTTTAAATAAATATAATATAAATTGTTAATATATTATACGTGTACAAAGTGTGACCGAATTGCAAAACTTTTTTAAGAACACCTAATTATAATAATAGAGAATACAGAGATTTTTTTCGCGGTCCAAGTATTACTGCAGTTATATGTATATGTACATCGCTACTAATTTTTTATAAAATACATACAAAAAACACGAAAAAAAAATAATACGCGAAGAGAGAAGACGAGTAAGAGTGATGTGTGCAAAATAAAAATAAAAAATGGGGAAGTATATATATATATATATATATATATATATATATATATATATATATATCCGACATTTTTCCACTCTTTCTCTCTCTCAACATTTCGCGATTCTCAACATAATGCGATATTACATACGTATGTATGCGTGTGCATTACATATACATATGTCCACAGATTACGGCAGTATATATGTGTATATACGAGTATATGTGTGCTGTATTGATTCGAATGGAGAAGCCTCTCGCACATCGCGACGAGTCTCTATCGCGCGTCGGATTAAACGCTTGCGTACACTACTGATGTCAATTTTATATCTGCATTTTTTCTATTTTTTCCTCTCTTTCCTTCGTTTTATTTTACATTCAATACGCATGATAATCGGCCTTCTTCCATTGATCGAGTGTGACAATGCTATAATCACAACAATTCGGCCTGTGTCTATGACGCGATAGGATCCACGGGAGCAAAGAAGGGTCCTTTTGTCACGTAAAATATGCTTTTATTGCTATAATCGCATCTGAATATCATGTGATTGAAAAGCTTATTACATATAAAAAATATAGCAAACATTTTTATTTTTAAATGATATTAAATATTACAATAAAAAAAGTCAAAGATTAGTGTGTGTGTGTGTGTGTGTGTGTGAGCCATTGCATAAGTTAAATATTCTCGTAAATTAGAAAATATCTTATTATTATTATTATATTAGTTTAGATAAAGAAACAGAAAATTTCAAAAATTTTATTGTGATAATTTTATAATAACACCAGTTTACAAAAAAGTATTTTTTCATTATTTTAAATCAGACAAGATGTTTCTTTTAAATTTTTAAATGCTGAAAACAATGTCAAGCCAATTTTCACCAGCACGTCAGGTTTCGAAAATAATTGAGATTTAATGATGCAAAAATGACTTTTTGTAAAAAGATTTTTTGTAAAAAAATTATCTAAAACTTCTAATTAGATGTCATGAATGTATTGTTTATCTTCTATAAAATGCATTCTTCTTTAAAAAAAAATTTTTTTCCAAAATTAATTTTATTATTTGTCTTTCTTTAAGTCATACAACTTTTGTCTGGAAGATTTTTTTGAAAATACATTTGTTTCAAAAAATTTAAGGTGGGTAATTAAAATATATATAACACCTTATATGTATATAAATACACATTTAGTAGAATCTATCATAATAAGTTACATTGTGTATGTGTATCGATAGCCTTAAACTATATACAAATTATAAGTATAATTATCATTTTATATATATAGAATGGACAAAATAAAACGTTACGAATTTTTATTTTTCTCCAAGAGTATTGTTTCTAGAGAAAAATATTTCAAGAAAAAGTTGGCGCTACTGACTTTTTTCTAAAGAGCAATTTTCAAGGTCATTTATGTTTTTTAAATAAAACCATTATATTTTTTACTCAAATCGATTTCTCGCAATATTCTATATAAAAAATTATAAGAGCAGCATGATAAAAAATGAATAGTTTAGGAGATATTTCATACTTAAATTTAACATAATCTTACATAAACTATGAAATATTTCGTAAAATATTCATGTTTCGATGATCTTACCTTAATACTTTTACCTTATTATTTTTTGCACAAAATAATGAAATCTTCAATGACCTTGAAAATCGCTCTTTAGGAAAAAAGTAAGTAGCATGAATTTTTTTCCACCCTCGAAATCCTATAACTTTTATTTGAAACATTTTTTTAGAAACAATATTTTTGGTAAATTTTATATTATATTATATTATATTATATTATATTATATTATATTATATTATATTTATATATATTTTTTAATTATATTGTATATATTTTTTTAAATATTATATATATATTTTTTTAATTATATTACATATATATATTTATTTTTTA